AATCTCACGCAAGCAGAAGCTGGCTTCTCCGGTGCTCAGGTCCCGGCTGAGGAACTTGCCGGAGTTCCACGAGTACGCCGGCAGGGCCCACTCGCAGTTGGCTGGAAGAGCTTCTCGGGCTTCCTGCCACCCATAGGCCCATGGATCATCAGGCTCCAGCCCTATGCCAAGAGCAAGGAGAGGCAGAAAGGTAGTCTTCTTCTCCTTGCTGGTCGCCGTCTTGTACGATCGAGTTGAGGTCTCAACCAAAACGATGGGCCCTCCTTCGGTAACCTGCACATTCTCCAAAGATTGTGAGTCGCCAAACCTGCAGCATGCGTAGAGGCAGAAGCAGAGGTGCCCAGCCACCAGGGTCAAATATTCGCCATCCCTCAAGCAAGCAGTCTGCTCAAGGACTCGAACCATGTCCACTGTGAGCGGCGGTGCCTGTCTCAAGCACCGTTTGCCTTCGAACATGGACCTTGCAGCTCCTCTAACCCGCGACGACATGAGGAAGTCCACGCTTGGCTCCTTGACCCTGGCCACCTTGCACAGGTAACTAACAGACTGCAGGAAAGTTGAAGCTGCTGTTGCCCCACACTTGCTGTCCCGCAGATGGCAGATGTACCTGTACACCAAAGTCTCGGAGAGCCGAAGGGGGGTACCTACCCGGTTGGTGGTAACCCAGGTCGCGTACCTCCAATAAGCAGCAGAGTACTTCACTAGTGTTCCTGTTGCTCGCCCGGCAAAGGCATCCATTACCACGGATGAGGCTTCATTGTCGCCGCCCATCTGTGAAGAAACTTCCCACAAGGTATCGCCCAGAACGCTTGCCGTTGGCTCCGAGATCAAAAGAACTCGGAAACGCTGAAGGGCCTTGAAGCGAAGCTCGTCGTCCGTCTTGATGCGGGTGGCATAATACGCCCTCATAGCACCAAACTCTTGCCCGGCTTTGGGTCCCTGCACTTGCGGAGGCGCCATGATGGTCTGCAGGTGAAAATCTTTCACACCCACTCGGGTGGGCTGCAGCGGCTTTGGCTTGTCCGTTCCAAACACCTTAGCCATCGGCCCTCTTTCCCACGGGAGCTGGGGCTTGGAGACCACAGGCTGCCCAGCCATGAGATTTGACAGAAAGTCAGACGTTGCAGGGCGGCTCGCCAAACTCGCAGAATCACTTCTCAGAAAAGGTGGCAGCGGCGCATGCCTAGTCTTTGGAACGACTGGAGGCAGGGGCGGGAACGGATGTTCGCTCTCGCTTCTGCCAAAATCCGGCTCATCGAAGACTCCGAACTCATCCCCAGAGCCTTCCATAGGGCTCACCACCGGCGATGCTGCCTGCATTTGTGGTGACGGTGCCCCGGGTCAGACCTGGAGCAGGGATTCTGGCAGAACGTACAACGGTATCCACAATGGTCGGGGACCAGAAGAGTGGGCTCTGCTTCGGCAGCCGGCCCTTCGTTCCCTTCAGAACTTCCCTGAGCCCCTTCGAAGCGCTCCAGTCGATTAGCCAACTCCTGGAGCACCTGAAAAGCGAGCGCCAGCAGATCAGAGGTGGTCAAGGACTGTACGTCCATGGCAGTTTCCCCCGATCGCCGAAAATTCTGGTGCGCTCGAGCACTAAAGATGTGCAAGCAGTGAGTTCGCGAAGCTGCATTGGAAAGAGTGTACGTCATGTTCCATGAATGCTCACTCTCACAATGCACTCACTGCACGAGCTCTGTTTTTAAACGTCGGGGGCACATCTCAGGCTTCCGTGCTGCCCGTTGCTCCCCTTTAAAGTGAAACTCGGAAGAGGCCTTTCGGTAGACCATCTGGTTTGATCAGCTCAGCCATATGGTCGGCGGACAGGCTGATGTCTCCTAAGGACTCGCCTTTGATCATCTTTGCAGCTTCGCGATGTTTGCCCCTGGAGGGCAGATCCGCTAAGTTGCTAGCTGTCGGCACTCGTTCTATCCAAGTAGCACATGGATGGCTGGCCTCGGGCAGATAGAACGCTCGGGCGAGGGCCAGCATTGACAAAGAAGGGCTGCTAGCCTTGATCAATGTCCAGCGAGCTGCCTCGTTGTCAACGAAGAAAATTGCCTTGCGCTGTCCAAGTTGCCGGGCATAGTGGTGCCGCACAAGTACCGCAGCATATGTTTCGACTTGGCAAATTACTTGTTCTATCCCAAGGGAGCGCCAATGCACCAAGAGCGACTCTGGTACAGCCCCATGGTGGACTGCTCTAAGGTTGTTCTCGGGGTCGAGCACGACAGCACCCTAAAGCGCACAACCTTTCTCGTAGGATCCATCGGTGAGCACAATGACCGGTCGCCCTGAAGAGTGGCACTTCCACCGCCTGGGCAGGGCTTCGTCCAAAGCTTTCTTAGTGTGCCCCACAAGCAAAGCAAGGTCATGCTCTGAAGGGCACTCTGGGGCCGAGGAAAGGTTTGCAAAGGCCCTAGCAGCTAACTTAAGGTGTTGACCTAGAGTCGAGCCATTCATGAAATTCAGAATCCCATGGATGCTCTTGGCTGCTTGCCGGGATGACTCGGGTGATGCGAGCAGGCCATCCAGCATCTCAAGAAGCTTGAGTTTACGGCTCGGCTTGTTGCTGACTTTAAGGTATCCTTCGTGGAGCTCGGACAAGTCAAGTCTCGCCCCGAGCAAGTCGAAGGACTCCTCGAAGTCCCGTCCTTTGCTTTCGTCTTTGGCGTAAAGCCATCCAAGCTGGTCCAATAAGGAGCATGCCGCTTTGGAGGCCATACCGCAGCAGGCTTCGGTTTCAAGCAGAGCGTAGTCATCATAAAACACGCCGCCTACTACAGATGTCATGTGGCGCAGCACGTGCAGCAGGGAGCGGCTTATGCGATTAAACGAGAAAACTGAAGCTGAGCATCCAAAGGGCATGCTGGCCGTGGTGAAGAATGCAGGCCTGCCTGAACTCGGATCGTGCACAAGTATCACCCCTAGGGGTAGTGACTTGCTTGAGATCGGCACCTGTTTGTAAGCCTTGCTGAGGTCGAGACAGCGGCCTCTGACCTTCGGCCTAGGGCCATAAGCCGGATGCACAACCCCCTGCAAGACCTCCCCACTCGAAAGCACATGCCGAAAGCTGGGTCCCATGGAGATAACCCTACCTATAAACCCAGCAAGCCCTGAAACGTAATCCAAGTCATGGAGAGCCAAGAGCTCCAGGGCTGTATAAGCCGAGTTGATCATCGACTCTTTGGCGTCGTCGATCACCCTGGGCTTCGGTGCCCCTGTCTTTGGATCAGTGCCCTGGAGGATCAAGAAGCGGCGAGTGACACATAAGTCATCGACAGTGCACCCTATGCTTTGGGCAACTTCCTCCAGAGTGGCGAAAGGTCCCTGAACAAACCCTTTATCTCTCTCCTTGAGGGTCTCACGCCAGAGGATCTCCTGGTGGCTAGGATCCGTCGAGTGAGCCTGGCGACCGATGAGATCGTGATTCCTCCACGGGGCTGCCTTGATGAGATTCTCGTGGGAGGTAGCAGCAAGCTTGACTTTTTCTCCATACAAGGGGCTCTTAGTCGGAACTCCCGTAAGGTCGGTGCCTAGCATTAGGTCCCACACTCCCATGTCGGGAAACCCCGTGTCCTCTAGAAGGCGAGCCCAAAGCAGAAGGGGTTTGGACCCTAAGACCTTTTGCACATGGAGGGGAAGAGTGGCTTTCAACCTAGCTTCCTCCACCGCTAGCTCCTTTTTAAGCTGGTTCACCTTGGTCACGGCCTGCAAACGTTCCTTGGCGAGCTGCAAGGGGGACTTGGTCAAGTTGTCTAGGATCAACCTGGCGACATCATCCTCTATGTCGAAGGAATCATACGGATGCTGGCAAGCTAAAGCTGCTTCCACGAACTCCATAGGCGTGTGGTAAATGCCGACCCTGAGGCGTCGATCGCCAGGTGACGCATGGGTGTGGACCTCCTCTGCACCTTGGGGAACCTGCGAGATTGTGGTTTTTGAGGTGGCATCGCCTTTGCACACGGGTTCTGCACCTGTCAAGCCTTCGGCAGTGTGGCTCTCCTCTGCACCTTGGGGAACCTGTGAGATTGTGGTTTTTAAGGTGGCATAGCTCTTGCCCACTGGTACCGCATCTGCTGAAGCCTTCTGCAAGACTGTAAGCTTGGAGCCAACATCACCGGCTTCTGACACGACCTCCTCTGCACCTTGGGAAACCTGGGAGATTGTGGTTTTTGAGGTTGCATCCCTTGCTGGCAAAGTCCTCCCGTCTGGCCCCCGTGGTTCGAGGACTTTGTGGGGAGGCAAATGGTCGAGGGAGCGCACGTCACAGAAATTAGCAAACTCTGGAATGAGGGGTCTGCCGCGGCGCGATTGCTTCTGCGCAGCAGCCAAACGTTGCAAGTGACCTGGCAGGGGCGGTGGACCTGGCAGCCCACATTTTGGCATGAGGCAGGCAACATACCTGGTGCACAAAAGGAAAGGGTACTCAGCCTCAGCGGCTGTGTCGAAGCTCCACTGGCCGTTGATGTGGCGCACCGACCAAGCAGCGTGCTGGTGTTGGCGATTGCAGTCGAGGCGCAAGGAGCCGAGGCAATCGGCTGAAGTAAGAAAAGTTGTTCGTTTGTCTCTCAGGGACCCGTGCATACAAGCGGAGGAGGTGACGACCTGCAAACGATCATACCACAGGTGGAAGCGCTGGCACGGGAATTCGTGCACAATGGCCCGCAGCAGAGCCCACGTGTGGGCTCGAGCCGGGTTCTCGACCACAAAGGGAGTGCCGGTCTCCCAAGCCTTATGTATGAGGCGTATGCAAAAGCGGGCGAGGGCATTGGCTTTCTGGACCTTGTGAAGATCGCGCCCCTGCAGCGTGGGGAGGCCGAAAGGATGGGTCTGGCTGCGAAGGGGCTTCGGCTGTGGGGTACCAGCCTGACACACGGCCGCCGGGAGCGGCCTCTCGCGAGCTCGGGAGCTGGTACCGCACGGTATGCCCATATGCACAAAGGAAGGCTTGGATTTGTCCCACAAACGGAACAAATGATCTTGAGCTGAGGCCTGGCTCAAATCTAGCATTAACAGAGGGAGGCAAGGCTGGTGACGATTGTGCTGGTGGTCCACTGCCAAAACCTGAAAGCCGGCTTTGCTAGCAGCAAGAGACAAACGAGCTGAGCCTGCAAAGACTTCCCAAAACCACGGCCCTGAAGAAGGAGGTGAGGGGGCGGCAGAACCACTAGGGGAACCGAGGGGCCTACCTAAACCAAGGCGCGCACCTGAGCGTGATGGCACAGAAGCAGCCTGCGCAGGTTCCACGAGGTGAGGTTCAGGCTTTTGCGAGGGCGTAGCTTGAGGCAGCGGAAAGCCATGACGAGCGGCAGCCTGAAAGTCGGAAGCTGGCAGACGCGCTGAGTCTCGCACAGAAAAGCAGATCAGAATTGTGCGACGGCCCTTCCAAGGTAACACACAATGCAAAAGTTGACGGGCGCTGAAGAAAACAGGTTGTCCGTAGGGCAAGGCAACTGTATCGCCCTGCAAAAGGCGGCCTTGGTGAAGCAACGGGTGTTGCCCGTTTGAAGCCTCAGTCCAAAGCTCTCCTCCACGAAAATGAGAGCATGCAAAAAGGCAGTTCTGAGTGGCTGCATCGTTATGGCTATCCCTGTGAAGGCCTGCTTGACAGTCCCGCACTAAGGAAAACGACGTGAAGCAAAAGTCCGGAGCGAGGCGCCTGGCAAACAGACATATCAGGCGGCACACCCATGGGAACTGCCGGGTCCCTGCACGGAGACCGCAAACACCGCCATGAATGTACAGCCCTGCACTGAATGCACGAGTGGTGGCAAAATGCTGGCCTCGTGGAAAATCCCCGGCAGGCAAAAGATCAAGCAAGGCATCGAGGGTCTGAGGCTCAATGTACGACTTATTGATTAAGCTGTAGGCCTGAAGCTCAGCAGGGTGTGAGGAGCTTACGGGCACATCCAGCGGGCCCCAATCTGCATACCCTAATGCAACTTCGGCAGCAGAGGCAGAGGGGCTTGCACGCATGCTGATTGGAACGTCCGAGGGAGGCACAGACAGTGGCTGCGCCTCCATCGCCTGTCAGGCATGTCTGCACTCACCGTAGGGGAAAGGCCTGTTGCATCCTTTCTTCCAACATACATGAAACCCAAACTTACATCTCTTCCCTGGCTTGGCAAAGGTGCACCCCTTGGTATTGAAGTTGCGGCAGCAAGGCTTGTTAGCATCTGTGAACGCTGAGCACCCTTCAGGTAGGGCTTGGTCAAAGCGCTGCTTCTTCTTGGGATTGCCTTTGCCAGGAGGGTCAGGGCGCTTAGGGTGGTTTGGGTCAGGCTTCGGAGGAGGTTCTACGGAGACTGAGGCGGCAGGCAGGGGCTGCAAGAGCAACCGCACTTCTGTGCGCTCCATGTAAAGCTTGATGGCGGCGTCGACTGGCTTGCTGTTGTCGGCCTGCATGGCGACGTTGCCACGCGTTTGCTCACTAACCAACTGCCAGAGGCGTTTGTCTGCCTCCTGCACTTGCTGAACGGTAACAGTTCGGTAACCCTTTGGGGGATCTCGCATCATCTCGGCAAACAGAGTCTCGGTCCAGGTCTCGAGAGTCTTGTAGTCGATCATCCTCGATAAATCGTAGGCCAAGGCTCTCCTCTGCAATGCCTGACGAAGCCGAGCATCGCCCACCAAGCGAGCCTCCAATTGGTCTTCCTGGGCGCGCGCCTTGAGGCCTCCACTGGAATCGAGGGCGAAGCTGATGACCTTCTTGATTTGAACCGCCTCTTGAGATCGAGAGGTGAGCTGTCCCCACGGGATCCAAGAGACGCAACCATCATCCTGCTGCTGGAAGATGCGGTTGACGAGAGCGTGAGAAGGCTCATTGTCCAGAGTCATAACCACTCCCTCGAGCCTGGTTTTCTGCAATTCGGCTCGAGAGGACCGCTCTGCCATTGGGAGTTTGCGCGGCTCGGAAGCATCCGTGCGTTCGATGCGCGCGCGCATGTCTGCGAGGCACACCGTGTTCGCTTCAAAATAAAGCCTTCGCAAGATGGGCTTTTCCGCAGCGGTTGGGCTGCGGCCCATCACCTCCTCTAACGCAGTGAAGAGAGGAGCTTCATCCGCCATTCCTGGTTGGTATGCTGATACGAACGCGAGCTTGCCCAGTGTGTTGACACCATTATTGACAAGAAGGGCAGTGGTGGCCTCAGGAAGGCCATAAGCCTTAGCTTTGTCCCTCAGAACAGCTTCAGACTCCAAGCCAGCTCCGGCCATGGCGCAGTTCTAAGCGCTGAGAACGGTACCTGACAGGGACATGAACATGTACACGTGTGAGCATGAGTGAATGTTCATGTCTGCTGTGTGTGCACGGTGCGCTGCTGTCGAGCCTTGCAAGACTGATGCGCACTCACTTCGGCTGATCAACATGCTGAGGTCGAAAGACTGATGCATGTGACCTAACAGGCGAGCTGAGGCACTTGATGTTTGCCCGACCTGCTGTCTGGTTACGGCTCAGGTGCCGCTATGATTTCGTCCTTTGGACGATCCTTAGGCTGCGTTGCCTAAGCATTGGATGCACTGTGGGTGGAGGTCTGGCAAAAGCTCTCCTTCCAGTGCTACATAATTGGAGTTTAGGGGCCTTCCGCACTTTAAGCGATCCCCAGAAACCTTGAAATGCAAAACGCCCGAAAGGACATGCTTCACAACCTCTTCGTCCTGGGCCGATGGTGGTGGCAGCCCAGGCAGATTGGAACTCAAACTGTCCAAGTCGTCCTCCAGGTCTTCGGAGGCACAATCCTCAGAGCCAACCTCTGAGACCGGCTCGTCGTGATCCACCACGGTGTGGCGATCCAAAGTCTCGCCCTGCTCCACAAGGGCCTTCAAGCGCATCACCCTCGGGAGGTCTGGATCAAGAACTCCCGTACGAATCAAATGCAGCACTCCATACACCAAGGCAGCAAGACGAGTACATTCGTCCCTCGAGTAGCACAAGGGGGAGGCAGCATTCCTGTCCACGTGGTGGCCAAGAAGACGTCGATCCTCAAAGGTCACTTTGGCGCTCTTCGAACACCAGCTCAAGAGAGTACTCTTCAAGCTGTGGCTGGAGACCTTCCAGCATTCGGAAGGGGCTATGCCACCATTCGCCAG